ATGTAGAAAGACGCGAAGAATTTATGTACGAAAGTGTGACAAATGTCAGAAGTTTACCCCCCATTATCCGGCAACCTGCTGAAGATTTGAACTTGCTGACAAGCCCTTGACCGTTCTCACAGTGGGGTATGGATATTGTCGGATCTCTCCCGAGATCCCCACTAGGCAAGAAATTCTTGCTGGTGGCAACCGATTACTTCACCAAATGGATCGAAATCGAGCCCTTAAGCCGTATTCAAGATGTGGAGGCGAAGAAGTTCGTGTGGCAGAACATCATCACTCGATTTGAAATCCCTAGGGCTATTGTTTCTAACAATAAGACTCAATTCAACAGTGGCCCGTTTAGAGAATTCTACTCAACGTTCGGAATATGTAATTACTATTTTACGCCAGCCTATCCCCAATGTAATGGATAGGCTGAGGAGACCAACAAAATCGTGCTGGTAGGAATCAAGAAGAGACTTGAGGTAGCAAAAGGAAGGTGGACCGATGAATTACTTAACGTATTATGGGCATACAGGACCACGCCGAGAACTTCGACAGGAGAAATCTCATACGCATTGACATATGGGGTCGAGGTTGTCATCCCCTTGGAGGTGGGACTCCCAATAATATGGAGCTGAGCCTTCGAATTGGGAAAACAATGATCAAACGCTCACTAGGAATCTTGATTTGGCCGAGAAAATGAGGTTATCGACATCCATCAGGCTGGCATGGTACCAAGGGGAATTGTCACATCAACACCGGAAGAAGGTTCGGATGAGAGATTTTTAAGTCACAGATTTGGTATTGCGAAAAGTGGTGGGCAATACTCGCGACCCTACTGATGGGAAACTGGGTCCCAATTAGGAGGGCCCTTATAAGGTCGTCTCTGTGGGGGGCACAGACGCATATCGATTGTAACATATGAATGGTGACAATGTAATTCGGCCATGGAATGTATCGAATTTAAAGAAATACTATTACTGATCCAGAATTGTCATTATGGTTGTATTAACCAGCCACGCGCTCGGTTGTTAGGGGTACGGCCCCGAGGTATGTGAGACTCTACCTTTGGAGTAATGCCTTCAAATTATTAACACTAGTCAAATACTCGGTCGTTAGGGGTACGACCCCGAGGGATGTAAGACTCCATCTTTGGAGTAATGCCTTCAAATTATTAACACGAGCCACGCGCTCGGTCGTTAGGGGGTACGACCCCGAGGGATGTAAGACTTCACCTTTAGAGCAATGCCTTTAAATTATTAACACGAGTCAAGCGCTTGGTCGTTAGGGGTACGGCCCCGAGGGATGTAAGACTCCACCTTTAGAGCAATGCCTTCAAATTATTAACACGAGCCACACGTTTAGTCGTTAGGAGTACGATCCTGAGGGATGTGAGACTCCACCTTGGGAGCAATGCCTTCAAATTATTAACGAGCCACGCGTTTGGTTGTAAGGGCACAGCCTTGAGGGATGTGTATACTCGATCCCAAGGGGTACAGACCCAGAAACAAGTTCAACTCATAGATTCGACGTGAAGCCTTGTTATTCTAGAAGGTTATTATCAACATAACATCAAGGCCATTCCATAGAAACGAACATGATGCAGAAATAAAGAACACTTGTATAAAAATGAAGTTTCATTGCAATCAAAAAGGGGCTTTGTGTCCCCAAGCATACAAAACGTTAACTATACAAAGTTACAAAACAAACTCGAGACATTAAAGTTTTCATATCAACGGTCGCTAACGACCCTCGGCTTATATCTCCCCTACTTCTCCCCCACCGAGGCCTCCACGCCGCCTTTGTAGTTCAACCCCCAAAATCTCGTCTAGCTCGGTGTCATACACTCCAGTAATAATTGGGGCAGAGGGGAAAGATCATCTGTAGGTTCGACAGGTGGCAAAGATGGGAGGACAGGAGAAGGCTGGTCAGAACCATCACTAAGTGTGATGGGTTCGTTCCCACCTTCGGCCCCGACCAGCCCTTCTGCCTGAACTTGGTCACCTGGGTTGGCTCGGAGTTGTTCGTCCAGGGTTTTGTCATCGGCCTCCCTTCGAAGGCTATGCATGGCGAACAAGTCCGAGCCTACCTCGATGTGGCAGGCATGAAGGGCAGCGTCCCAACCTTCTTTGAAAGCCTTCTTTTTGGCTTCCTCGAAAGCAAGGACCATTTGGTCCTGAGTGGTCAACCACACCCTCTGACATTTTGACTGCAGCCTTTCCTGCTCCCCCGCCTTCTCTGCTGTCAAGGAGTCCACTTTGGCAGTAAGTTCATTGATTACAGACTCGGACTCTTACAGCTTAACTTTGGAGAAGGAGACTCGCAACTCATACTCCTCAGCCTTCTTTATCATCTCAATTTCACCCACTTTGGTCTTTTTCAACTCGGTATGAACGACATCTCGATGGCAGATGAGCTCGACGATGTGTTTGGTCTGGTCGCCGAGGGTCCTCTCGACCTTGAGGATATGGCCGTCCTTAGCAGCTAGGGCTCGCTCGGCATTCTTCGCCTCTTGTTTGTATTCCCAAAAATGCTCAATTATGGCCCCCACCTGCTGGCTGGCCAGCCTGAAAAAGGGGGACTATTAGAGAAAGACTAAAAGGGTGCAAGGAATATCTCGGAAGCCGATTGTCTGAATTGCCTTTGTATACGACCATATCGGCATCAAACTGAAACGTCCCCGCGATGGCAAAGGCCACTTCAAGGGACTGGAGAATGGAGTCGACTTCCAGGATAGGGCGGTCGCTTCTTGTCTTAGCTCGAGGGACCTATTCGCCCGAGACAGACTGGCCCGGGGTGTCATGCTGCCGCTTCACATGGCACTCCTCAGATTGCTCGGCATCCTGAGCTAGTCGGTCCTTCGACCTGTCCCCCGAAGCGGAGACTTGTTGAGATTGAGGCCTTTGCATGGTCGGCACAGCCGGGTCCCTGGATGGTTGGGGACGTGGAGGCAGCAGGGGTGGTTGCCACCGAGGAGAACTAGGCGGGGAATGATAGGGACAGTGTTGGAAGGCCCGGCTAACCTAGCGAGCCTGGCTCTCCTTGCCGCGACGGCGGCCTCCAATGTAGCAGCGGTGACTGGTGGTGGATTAAACATTTCAAGCGCAAGGGGCTCGGGAGCAGGATGATCAGACTCTTCTTCGGAATCTCCCTCAAATTCTTCCTTTGCCGACGAGGAACGGTCTTCCCAAAGAGAAGGGTTGAAGGGAAGTAGGATCTAGGAAAATTGGCTGTAGGTCGGGAGCAGGATCTAGGAAAAGAGTGTGAGCCGCTCGGTCAACTGGGTCTAAGGACCAAACCCTTAGGAGATCGGCAAACCAGACTTAGGACCTCAAGGGTTGAGCAGCGTCCTGACGGTATCCTTCTGCAAAAGTAAAGATAGCGAAATCAGTACATCCCTTGGGTCCAAAAATAGCAAAATCAGTACAAGTCAGGAAGAAGACACACCTTTATCTCTCAGCATTTTGGGGCAGTACAATCCATCATACTCGGGCCCTGGTCCTTTCTCCCAACTGCCGTCGAGCATGATCAGATCGTCTACATACCCCTTGTCCGAGTCGGGCATGTGGGTTACCAAATACATTTAGGTGTCTCGAGCTTGGAGATAGTATCTCCCCCCGACGACTAACCTCAGGTCGTAACAGAATAAAATTTCATCTACTCCTAAGTTGGTCTCCAGCCGAGCGTTTAAGGCGACTAAGTCCATCACAATCTTAAAGAAGTTAACCCCACATTGAAGGGGGAAGAGTTTCAGTTGCATCAACACTCCAAGCAATAGGGGATGGAGAGGGAAGGTCAAGCCTCCTTCCATGATGGCCTTCATCCAGAAAGGCATCATGTCCACACTTCCCATATCCCTCCTATAGTGAGTAGGGTTAAAGGGGAAGACAAAGACAGACTCATGGATGTGGTACCTAACCCTAAAAGCTTGGATATTCTTATCAGTCACTTGGGGTCTCCTCATCTTATGGGTAGTCATAGCCCTAACAGATGTCTCCCCCCTAGTTGTACTAGTTCTAGTCATTGGTGGGCTCTAAAATAACGAAATGTAGAGGAAATGAAGAGAGAAAAAACTCAAGTGGAAGTACTTATAGGAAGGTGATCTTCAAAAAAGGAGCTTGGAGGACGAAAGAAACTCGGAGGAGAACAAAGAAACACTCGGGGTCTGATTGCTGAAGAGAGGCTGAGGATGCAAAAGTTCTGAGAATGCATGAAAATCTTCTATTTATACTGCCTTACAAGGAGCAGGAATCAAAAAGTTAGGTCATCATTTGGGCATTTGAAAAGGGGCGACACCAGACGTGCAAGTAACCTTCGCTATTAATACGGCGTGATGATTGAGCCCCCAATCTCTTTACGCCACTTGTCTTACACTGCGAAAAGGATGGCGACTGGGAGGCAATTGACAGGACTCTAGGTGGCTCTACAGCCCCCAGATTGACACGTGGAATAATGAAGCCTTGGGATGTCCAAATGGCACCGAGGAAATAAGCCAAGGTATGGTGACACGGAGCAGTCGAGTACGACAGTTGACATCGTATTTAATGCGATGTGACCCCTTATTTATGGCGGAATGAGTGATAGTGACAAGGTAAATAAATACGCGCCTGCAAGTACCTACACTCTAGGAGTCTAGGCCTACTGTCATGATGGTTAAGCATTAATGGTTGATGCGTCGAGATGACGCTATCGACTCCCCCCGAGGAACTGTTCCCCCGAGTATTCAATACTCAGCTGAGGTCAGATCGGCATCTGGGAAATTTGGGTACTCGGGGGAGGGGCATAAATGCTCAGCATTTGGCCGAGCATTTATCTCATCTTCCTAGCATTTAATAGGAGGAAACGTGAGTAAAAAACACTCATTGTACGAGAAATGGTATGTCAGATGTAAGATGTCCAAATGAGATTAGAGATCTTTGACAATCATTGTTAATTCAGGAATAAATACTCCTCAGAAAAATGGACAAAGATACACAAATTTGAATCAGAAAAAGATTGTCCATTGAGCTAAACCCTTCGACCTTAGACTAACTTTAGCTTCAGAGGAGATAAACCGGGTGCTCACCTAACTTTTTTTTTTGACCCTGTTGTTTCAGGTTCACCAACTTAAAGATCGCTGTCTCAAACTATTACAGGAATTATCGCGTACACCAAACATAACTTTACAAAAAGTAGTAGCAAATTAGTGGTTGCCATAATTTTCCTCGAACAGTTTCAGGTCAACGCAACTATTTAAGCTTAGAAAATCCACAATCAAAGCGGAAAGCAAGACAAAAAATCTGCAAATAGCTTTGGCTTTGGCCAAAGCTAGTTAAATTGTTGGCAACTAGTAACGAACAGGGAGGGCAAGAGGCAAGGCTTCATGAGTAGATATCGGAATTGTCTGAAATTTGCAGTCACCCGATAATAACTGGGTAGAGTTAGTGGTGTGCTTCTCTTCGATAGAAATGTCGTTAATAAGTTGGAGCAACACGCGTTCAAGCTCTTCTCCATCGGTCCATTCATGGATTTCTGCCCTCAAAAGCATGCGATTTTTGCATATCAAGTCCCATACTGGGAAATCCTTCCTTGGCATCATATAATCACCCTCCTTCAGCTTCAAGCTTGGGCAAAAATCACCACTTCCATCTCCTAGGTAGATGATCTTTTTCTTTCCCTCTTTATTCATGGAAGCTTGGATCCTTTCTATTATCAGACCCTGTAAAAAAATCACCATAATCAGCTAGTGATTATCCAAATATAGCTACTTTGAAATCATTGTGAGTGTGCCTAATGGTTCTTTTAGTTTAATACTTCATTGACATACTAGTTGACTCACTGTCACTATCTCACTTCTCAAATGACTTACTTTGTCTTCTAAGTTGTTAACTAAACAGATCCAGTGGGGTCATCAAAGAAAACATTCTGTTGTTTTAAGTCGAAACCAAAAGCTGAAGCATATTAACATATTCCAATATATTCGGATGAGAGAGAAAATCATTCCTTCACAGAGATCCACATGCACAAAGAAAATTTGTTCTTGATGACCTTTCTAGATCTGGATCCTGGGCACCTCATGAATATTTATTCACCTAGAATAATTCTAGATTTCTCTAGAAAATGTTATGCCTTAATTTGTCAGAAAACGTGTGAGAATTTGTCAGTAATAAAAGAAAAACAAAGGGGAATAACTAGTTAATTTACCTTGCACATGTTTGGTGGGCAAAGATTGCAGCCATGAGGAGAAGAATGAAAATCATGGTAAGGTACGATCCTTAGCCTCCCTTCCTCATCAACATAACCCGGGTTCGTGTTGATTTCGGTGAAACAATCCCTTATCCCAAGATGGTTCAAAATTGTCTCGATGAAGAACAGATTAGCATCGCTAACTACCCTCAGATCACATCTGAAATCCATCGACAATCCCACATTAGTTTGTTTTCCAGGAACAAACAGAGCGTAACAAAATGTAGATGACATTTAAGACATATGAGAGAGAGTGTTACCCTAAAGCATGGGCAGATTTGATGGCAGGGACAATCCGGGGATGTAAAGGAACCCTATTGAGTACCTCTTCAATGTCCCCAATAGTTTTGCCTTGGGAATGAAGCTCCTTCATCATCCTATCCTGCAGATACATAACAGAGAATTGGAAATCAATCAATACCCACAAACCTTGGACACTGACCCTCTAATTTATGGGAAAAATACAAACAAAATGAAGGTACTAACTGTAATTAAGCCATTGTACATTAATCTTAAGAAGGTTATGGGGTGAAAATACTTACCATGAGAGAATTCCAAGGCATGGAAGGAAGAAGTTGATCGAACAATTGAGTGGCACCCAACTCGTCCACGACCCAATTATCACTGTCCAAGTCGATGATCGTCTTGTCAAAGTCGAAAACCACCACAATTCCGGCCATTCTAGTACCCAAAAGCTGTTTTTGAAACCTCAAACTCCCCAAATAAATCTAGGATTTAACACTAAGAAGTTCTTGGTTCTGAAAGGCACCGAGGAGGCAGGGTTTATATAGGAAGGGAAAGGCATTGTGATTTGTGAGAATGTTTGATTCCAAAGGAATATTCAGTGAATGAGTTTGTGGTGTGTTAAAGGAACGCCATTCGATTCGAGTCCCTTTTTTTTTTTTTGTGCTGACATCTCTGGCGAGAGAACTCATTATCCTGTACTTCTCAAGGTAATCTAGTACACTGATTCTAAATCATACCAGCCGTACATTAAACATCACGGGTTGTGATGAAGCAAACGTACGGTGATAGGTGTGTGGAATATGTGTTTAGGTGGTATCCGTGAGTTAGGTGAAACGCGGGAATAAGCGAATATTCGTTGGGGAATTGAATTTGATTTCGAACTGTCCTTCCAACTATGAATCCACTTCCTAATTTCCCTATTAAACAACAACTTACGATGGCATATTCGGTTCTGGTCCGGTCGGCTTACCTCAAATCTTTGTCTGGCGGCGCCCTTTTCGCAAAAAAATTTCCCTATGTGCAGGCCTTCCAACACATTATATTCCGATCAGTTTTTGAGCTATCCGAATCAGATGCCATACGAACGTTTGGTTCATAATCAGATTTAAATATCGGGTGAATTATAATTTATACTTTTATATGTTATACTTGATTTTTATTTAATCCTTAATAATTAATTATAATAATCAAGTCCTTAATTTTTATAACTAATTTTAATCAACCTTTTTTGTTAAACTTAATCAATAATTATGACCAGAAAAATACCATGTGAGCATTAAACACCTCAACCACATTATAGAATTTTAACCAAATACATATAAATATTAATTAAATGCGTAAAAATGAGTCAATGCATCAAATTCAACTACTCAAATCTATATCAAATGAGTTAGCAAATATAATTTTATTGCATAAATTCTAATTTTAGAGCCAGCTTATTCAAAATAAATTTTATTATTGATTTACATTTTGCTCGTGTGACTCTTTTCTTTTAAAATTTTAACCGGGGACTTAATTAAAACATAATATAAATTTTAAAGACTTAATTGTTTTAATTGATAATTTAGGGATTAAATAAAAATTAAATATAAACTTTGAGGATATAAAATATAATTTATCCTTGAATTATTTCATAGTAGAATCCGGTATCATGTTAAGTATGATAAAAAAAATCTCATTCTATTCGAAGAATTAAAGTATGACTTAATCTAAAAAATTACAAGATTTATATGAACATATAGTGTCATATACCATGCTGCTAAGTTCACAATCATACTAACCTTTTGGGTGGTCAAGTATGCCCTTTTACTAGCAAGAGGTCTCACGTCTCATATTTTTCATATTCTTTAATGCTCTGTTTAGTAGGGATGATGAAAAGTAGGAGATATATTCTTTGTATCATTCAAAGATAAAAAATATGAATGATACACTTTCCTCCCTTTGTGTTTGGTTGAATAGATGAAAAATAAAAATGACTTTTTTTTTTTTGTTGGCTAAGATTAGGGGTGACAATCGAGTCGAGTCGTGTCGTTTCAAATTCATATTAAGTCATTACGGGTTTGTGTCGAATATTAGTAAAACCTAACTTAACTCATTTAATTAATTATGTCGTATCGAGTTGCGAGTTGACCTGCTTATTTTTGTATCGTTAGTTAAGATGGAAAAAATATTTTTTTTAATTTAAATTTTTAATTTTTTTATTTTTTAAAAATATATATACATATTTTACCATTGTATTTTTATATGAAATTAATGTATACATAAGATATATAACAAATAAGATACATCTTAACACAAATAATTAATTTTTCATCCACTTTCCTTCCAATTTTAGAGGGATTGATTTTGGTGAGAGAAAAGTTAATCTATCTATTATTTCATCCTTCCTACTTTCCTTCCTTATTAAACATGATATTTTATTTATCCTTCAAATTTTTTATCCTCCTATGTTTTTATCATACTAAATAGAGCATAAAGGCCGATCACTCTTGTTATTCGTGACATGTCTTTAAATTAATTCGAGTTACAAGATCCAGAACGTATGTGGCTCCAATTAGCCCTACTGGTCAGTTTTTCAGCTCATGTCCTGTCATTTATCTGGTCCTCAAGCCCCCATACCAAATATATTATGTTGTCCTCGTATTCCTGTTTTTTTTCTATGGCATGGTGACCCCTTGACAGAATAGGTTCCTCTCACTTTTGTTTCTTTTTAATCACGAGTGTGTCCGTGCCAATTTATGTATATTTTAAATAATCGTATTTTTAATTTGATCAAAAATAAATTATTCACATCGAAATTAAGATATTTATGAGAAATAAATCTCTCATGAGCTAGTTCCAAAGAATTGCCAAAATTTAGGCCTAAGATATTTAAATTTATAACTCGCACTTATTACCACTTGAACTACGCATTGGATTAATAAGTTTCTCTCACTCAACATCTTTTTTTTTTTACTTAAATCTCGGTTCATACTTAAAATTGGATAAACACACGATAAAAATAAGTTTCGGTGTTTTATTTAAGCTCATGTTAAATAAATAAAGACTCAAATTTTACTAAAATGTCTAATTATTAAATTTTACTCTCTTTTAAAATTCAATGAGCATGTTTTAAATTTAAGTTTATTTTCCTCGTGTCTTCATGTTATATCTTTCTCCTTAATTATTCGATTGCGATAAATTAGATTGAATTTTACAATTTTTTCTTCTTCAATACCTTGACTCCACTTTGTTATTTGCCCAAAAAAAAAAGGAATCCAACGCGGAGTATTATTTTGTTTCTCGACCAAGATTCAATAAATTATGAAGGACACGTGAATCATCCTAAGGTATTGAGGTTTTCATACTCTATTTCGAAGAAATTAGTTTCGAAGAAATTAGTGATGAGTGGATCATTGATGACGTAGATTAGCAATATGGCCGAAAGTTTTTGTCTTGTTGGGCTTTCCCCAATAGTGGGGGATTTAACATCACCTTTCTTAGTTCAACGTGTAAATAGTGATTGCAATATGAAGGGGCTGGGTCCCTGCACTTGCGTTAAATGACCCCATGTGATCAAGACAAGTCCAATCACGTGATAGAGAGAAATCATCTCCAGTTTATCTAATAGACATGAATGTAATAGGGATAAAAAAAGGGCTAACCTGTTGATATCATGCTTTCATGCATCGTTTCTGATAATGATTAGTTTAAATCTGAATTTTTTTAAAGCTCAAGACTCTTTAAGCTTGTTAAAAGCGGCCCACACAGTTTATTCAAACAATACTCAAACTAGGCTACAACCCAATTTCAAGGATGCGTGATATTAACGAGTTCGATACATCTATCAACTCAGGAGACGAGAGCACAACATAGTGCTAATCTACAAAAGTTGTAGCATGACACATGGACAAGGGACAAAGAAATATTACCTAATGACTCTTATCAACAAAAATCCGTAGATAGTGAAAATAGATCAAGTACTGTAGTCGACAAGTAATGGATGCAAGATAGAGACAAACACAAAATGGACCACAGAATCAATCAAATAAGATAAATACGAAATCCTAACTACCAATTGTATATATAGGCAACAAGGCTATAGTTGCACAAAAATGCCATTCGAAAAGCTAACAAGAAATACTTGGGTGATATCTTGTAAAAGTCTTCAAGCCAAACACTTTATAACAACAATTTTTTTCCCTAAATAATACAATCCCCAAGGAGTAAGAATCTCCCTTACAGTAGACGTAATTTTAATCTTTCGATTAAGGCGAACCACTTAAATCATTGTCTTCTCTTTGCATTATACACATAGTATACACGCTCACATTCTCACATGCACACACACACACTCATTGGGCCACACTCCAAATTATTCTACAATCTAGTCCAGTCGATTTTGAGCACCATTAATTTCTGACGTCAAACTCGACGATTGAACATGATTCTAATTCATGTGATCTCACTTTTTTTTTGCGCCACATATGTTTGTGGTTAGCAGATTCTTGATTTTTCTCCTTATGAGTTGTTGTTGTCCTCAAGATTAAGATGGGTTTGATGCTTGTTTCTGGACCATTTGTTATATTTTTTCCCCAAAATGTTGCTAAATACCTTATTTAAGCTAGAGTATATATATGATCCATATTTATATAATAAAGTAACTTATAATTCAAATTTCAAAAGATAAATAAAATAATTTTTGTTTATCGCGGTTCAAATTATTTTAAATTTTACTTTAAAGTTAATCAAACGGTTAATATTAATACCTTAAATTTAATAGAAAAAATAGTATCCTAAGGGTGCGTTTGGAGTGACTTTTTAAAAATACTTCTAGAAATTATTTCTCATAAGTGTTTTAAAAAAAATAGTGTTTGAAATTACCCTACCACCACCACTACATCTACCACCATCGCCTCCACTACCACCGTTACCACCCTACCATCACCACTGTCGTCACCGACACCGTCGCCGCCACCATCACCACTGTCGCAGTCGTCGTCACCACCACTGCCACCGCCATCATCGTCGTCGCTACTACCACCACCATCACCACGGCCATTGTCACCCACCACAACCATCACCGTCTCCTACCACTACCACTGCTGCCTACACCTTTCACCCCTATTATAATCGATATTTAAATTCATTTATCTCTCTTCTATGTTTTGTAATGTGATTTTGAATATAAATAAAAATATATTTATTGTTTATTATTTTTTATTACTCTGTGCCTTTCGACATAGACAATAACTAGTAAATCCATAAAAATTGAATTATACTCTAAAATCTACGTAACAACATCTTGTGTTAGTTGTAAATCCTATGATTATAATACAACATGAGATTATTCACGTTAACTCTCTAATTAGAAACTTACTTGCAAATACCAGGATGAAAACACGGCATGAGAAATAGTTGTGTAATATGTGTTTCGAAGACGATCATTGCATGTGATTTTTGTCACCATAGGATCGAAAGAAAATAAGATTTAAACTTATTTACCTTGTTGAAACTATCAAGTTACGGAAATAAGTTTTATATATGTTACACAAAAAACAATAAATAATAGTTTCTGAAAATAATTTGGTGATCCAATTAACCTATCTACTCCATTTTTGTTCTTAGATTGACAATAAATTTCAATATATAATAATTTTATATCATATTCAGATCGAGAAAAAGAAAAAAAAATTATGCTTGGCAGGCGATACCACCTGACAATATATTATGTACAAAATAATGTATATTTTTACGTGTTTGACAAAATAAATTATGTAATAATTTTTTATTGATCGTAGGCACTGATTGACAATGGTGTCTGGTGAGCACTGAAAATTATTAGTAGTCCAAGAATTGTATCATTGCTTTGAGTTACTGGTACCAGTCTATTAAAGGCTTGAACCATCAATATACCCTCCTTATGACCATCGTGGTCCATTAGAAATGAAAACGGCATCGTATTTTGGGGCATGCTGTCAAAGCCGTATGAAATGTGGGGAAGGACCATTTCGGGGGTTAGGCTATCCTTCTCCAAATGTTTTTTTTATAGTGAACACCTTAGGTACAAATAATATTACTTAAAAAGTGTTAAGAAGTCAATTTTTTTCAAACAAGACTGACTTGTCCAAAGTGATGACACTCCACCATACTAAACATATTAGAAATTGTCCATGCCTAATACTAAAAGAAATTAATAATTAAAAAAATAATATTTATTAGAAATTAAGATTAAACTTCAACAAATTTTCCTTAGAATCCTACAATCAAAAAATATATTAATTTGTATCCCTAATAGAGAGGAAAAAAAAAAGATTGAAGAGAGAGGATACTAAGTAAAAAAGATTGAAGAGAGAGAAAACTAAGTTTGACATTAATTAAGGTGAAATGAAATGGGCTGATTGGGGTTTTCAAGTTTTGGGGAGAGGGAGAGAGAATTTTTTGGTGATGATTTTGAACCATTAGATTAAATAAATCTCAGTTACTCTTATAGTCGGCTAACTTAAAGATTCAAGTCCGCACACCTATAGAGGTAGGAGGCCCCTACCGTCCAAATTAGGATGGAAAATAAAGAAAGACCATGAAACACTTTGTGTTGAAGCACTTAAAAGAAAATATTTAAATCTGCTCATGAAGAATGGCATCCCAAATCTTCTGCTTTTCCAATATGGAGAGTTATCAATAAAACCAAAACACTTGATTGATGAGGGTAATAAGTGGATTGCTGGAAATGGGGAAAAAATAACTTTCTGGAAAGACTGGTGGATATGAGGAAAACCTCTGCAACAGGTCATGCAAGCTACTCAGACAGCTAATCCCCATAGCACAGTGGTAAAGTTCATCACTCTTGAAGGTAATTAGTATCTGTTGCCTGCAAGTTTGTTTCTTAGCCCTGAACTTCTCCAAGAGCTCAAATTCACCCCTTCCCCTATGATAGAATATTTGAGGATTCCCTTAGCTAGAGTTGGGTTTAGTAATGAGAAATTTTGTACAAATGAGGCTTATAGACTCCTTACTCAGAAGAAAATCATTTATCCTCTGTTGGTTGATAGGGAATGGATATGGAAGCTAAAAGTACCACAGAAAATTAAATGTTTCTTGTGGCCGGTTAAACATGATGCTTTTTTCAAATAACTTGAGAGCCACAAGAAATATTATAGCTGAACCCACCAACAATAGAGGCAATGTACTTATTGAAAACACAACCCACATTCCGAGGGATTGCCCCAACGCCAAGTATGGAAAAACTTCCTCAATAACCAAGAGATTGTCAGTGACTCTGCATTGAACCTTGTTAATTAGCTGATCGTCAATTACAAGGGCAATAAAAAGAAAATTTGGAATGAAATTGAATGGCCCATCTCATTTTCTTCTATCAACTGGTTCATAATATGTGCATTAGAAATATAAATACCCCGTCAACTGGTTGCCAAAAATGCTTGCTAGCATGCATTGGAAATGAGAAATGCCTTCCAAGCCCCTTCCATAGAAAGCCATACTACTGCTAACACTTTAATCTGTTGGTCTTATCCCCCTACATCCTAGTTCAAGCTTAACATTAATGGGTGCTCTAAAGGTACCCCAGGACCTACTGGTGTGGGTGGTATCCTGAGAGATGATCAGGGTCGTTGGCGTGGTGGATTTGGGCTTTATTCAACAACTCAACTAGCATCAAAGCTGAAATATGGGTTTTATTCAAAGAATTGGAGGTGCTGAGCATGAAAGGAATTGATAGAGTCATTATTGAATCAGGTTCAGAGGAAGTCTGTTGCCTCCTCAACTAAGGAAATGACAACCCTACCCAGAAAGTGTTGGTGGGGAAAGGCAGAGTTTTGATGAAGAACAAGAACTAGGTGATACGTCATACACTTCGTGAAGGGAACAAATTCTTAGACCAATTGGCAACCTTGGGTGTTCAACTTCATCTTTAGGAAGATGTTACCGACCTTATCTTAATGCCTCCCACGCTGGGACAAACTTTTGTGGCAGACTTAATCTGCACCTCTTTTGTTAGAGTGTCAAACGGACCAGTTCTTTCTTTTCCACCATACCCAAAAAAAAACTTAAAAGATTCAAAATCAGTTTTATATTATTAGTATAAATGTTCGAACTCGACAGTACTTCTTTTACTTCTAATCAAATGACCTTTATTTTATGGGCTGTTCCGACACTTGAGTAAATGATTGAGCCCAACGAATAAGCAGCCCAACTTATCTGCATCCCAAATCGGCAATTGTCATGAGAGGTGCTCTGGTGGTGAATCGAATTTAGCAAGATTGTTAGATACACCGGGAAAAAGCCCAACTAGGACCATGTAACTATATAAGTTTTCGCAGCATGCGACTCCTCCGTGATAACTTCGTCAGATATGCATGAACCACCATATTGAGCAAGTGGTGATGCTCCCTAAAATACTTATTAAATAATTATTTTTTATCTATAGTACCCATTAGTCGTGTTATTTGTGTTGAACCTTAATTTGACCCATTTATTACTCGTATCAACGAATCATGTTATTTTCGGGTTTGTGTCGAGTCAAAAATTGACACCCTTAGCATGAACCCATTAAGCAAGTCTTGAACATGGCACAAACATAATACAATACAAACCTGGCTACACACGATTAAAAATGGATCAGATATGAAATAAGAGAGTTTTGACGCATCGCGATTTAAACACGATACGAACCTATTGACACGGGGTAGTAATTGTTTGATATGGGTTACGCTTAAAGTATTTGGGCCACTGCAGAAAATGCATGCGTTATTTTAATTAGGCCTGTTTTTGATTGACATGGGGTAGTATAATTGTTTGTGATCGGTCGCGCTTAATGCATTTGGGCCACTGCAGAAAATGCATGCGTTATTTTAATTAGGCCTGTTCCTGATTGACATGGGCCGAATTTACACTATGCTAACCTGAAATTTATGGTGGTGGACCCTTTAACTTATGCCTTCCTAGCACAATCGGATGAAGTGGACATCAACCAAAATTGCAAGAAAGGCCAAGGAAGGAAAGTTTTGGCATGACCTCGACATTTCGATGATTACAATTGGAAGTGTTAACCTACCTTGTTGGTTACATCTGATTACAATAAGAAGTGTTATACTGTGCAAATATACCATAAATCTTCCCCATTACCAGTCTACATAGGAATATTTGTAATTAAAAACCATAATGTATGAAGCATAGCAAAGATTCTATGCAATATGATAATATATTTGTGACTCAAATAAAGACTATTTCATTGTAATTTGGGCTACTCAAATTTTAAATGACGACGATAGATTTAGTTATATTTAATCCTCCATGAACGTGTACTACCCGAAATCTCAAAAAAACACCAAGATTTTGGTCATTAACATGCAACGCGGAAAAGTTGGCCATTAGATGTTTTTTTATTTTATTTTCGAGTAATGAAAAACTTCTTTAATGTGTGTTGCAACAGACGTACTACTGTAAAACAAAAAACATGCAATTACAAATATAAGTATCAATAAATTCAAAAGTAAACTTGAGCTCAAAGCGTTTGAGTTGATATGCATGGATAGAATTACTATTCATATTGAGATCGGTTTAATTATAAAAAAAAAAAAAAAGACAAAAATGAGTAGGCAAGGACATTAACGTCATTTTACACAACCTCACCTTGTGTCCTCTCCAACAATGCCCGGTCGTGTAAAGAACTTCAACAACATATTTCTTATTCATTTTTTACTAATCATACCGGCTTGCTATCAAACCGCATCCCTCACCAATCAATAACAAGCTTTTGACCAATCAGATGAGTTAAGTAACTTAATCAAATTCACAGCCGGTGAGTTTATCAGAATTACGAAAAATATAAAAAAGTATAGAGAGGGAACATATTATTGATAGAGCTTCGACAGGGAGAGAACAGTGTTATGGTTCTCCGAGGAACCGAAGCCAAAGAACGGTTTGCTACTCCATTTCCCATTTTCTCCTCTCCACTGGGAGAGAAGGAGAGAGAAAATCTCAATCTCAATCTATGTTATGCGGGAGACCTGAGTCGGTGTCGTCGTTGGACTAGTAATGGTTGAATCTGAAGAATCCAACATTTTTCATGAATCTATTGCCGATTCCGTAGCTGCGATCTTGAGACGAAACCTCAATAGCGATCGCTTGATGCGGTGATTTCCATTTTGATTTTGATTTTGATTTGGTGTGGCGGTTGGTTGTTTTATATTGGTGCTGTTGATTTGACGGAAAATGAACGGTGGTGATGGAGAGGTCGCGGCAGCTTCGGCGGGCCCACCACCGCTGCTCGAGTGGAAATTCTCTCAGGTCTTCGGTGAACGCACCGCCGGTGAAGAAGTTCAGGAAGGTACCATATTATTACCTCTAGATCCACCATTTCTTTTTGTGTATACCTGTGATTAGGGTTTGATTATGTGTTTTTGATCTTTTTGAGGTTCGTTTGTTGCTAACTACTAAATTGATTTATTGGGTAGTAGGGAAAATAATTAGATTTAAGTTGTGAAATTGTTAGTGTGCTGTGCATGTGTATGGATGCGTCTGAGAATGAATGACGATTGAGTAATGAAAATTAGGCTGCTGTACTTCGCCGAGTGAACGTTAGTTTGATGTACTTTTGAGTGAATGCACTTGGTTTGGTGTCGGAATCGTGTATAATTAGTGGTAAATTGAAATCTGATACTGCAGGTTGGATCTCTGTAGCTAGCCAATGAGTAATGTGGACAGTGTTGTTATTGATATGCATTGTTTTAATGCCACCTATTAACCAATAAATTGTCGAGTTCAACTGCCAGTGAGGACTGGTCATTTAGTTTTTTATGATACCTTCCCTATCTTCACATATCCCTTGTTTGCTTTCGAAAGTTTTGGTAAATATACTTGGAATACTCAATCAAATTTGTTGACATATCTTGTGTCTAGCTCCCTTCAAAAGGGAAACCTCATCCTGATTTTACAATTTATTGAGTTTACTAAACTATTGTTTAATAAAAGTATTGAACACTGTATTCCATTGTTATCAACCGCCTGCTTGCCATTCAATTTTTTCACGCCTTAGGAACAAACCGAATTAAGGGGGAGGATACATGGAAGGAGTATAGTTGAATTTATGGTTTCATGACGCGGGATAGTAGAGGATGATCACTGATTATTGGACTAATGCTTTCCATGCTCTCATTAAGGAGTGATTTGCTAATTGATTATCTCTCTGTCCATGTCATTTCATGTGTGTGTGTATGCATTGTATAAATGTTTGGATAACTTTGCCACAATGATGGTAAATGCTAAATAATTGTTGGTCTCTGTGCATCGAATATTGGGAAGCCTCTATTGGGATCTGCTAATCTGTTTGATTGTATTTAAATTGTTGCAGTTGATATTATTTCTGCAATTGAGTTTGATAAAACTGGTGACCACCTCGCTACTGGAGACCGTGGGGGCAGAGTAGTGTTATTTGAGAGGACTGATACAAAGGAGGTAAGTTTGTACACACCAAGGGATTTCATTTATTGCCCTGGACTTAATGCTATACCTTACTCTTTATTCTTTCATAATATTTTAATTCTTATACAAAATACCAAGTGTAGCATGGTGGAAGTCGAAGAGATTTAGAGAGGATGGATTATCCAGTTGGTAGGCATCCAGAGTTCCGTTACAAAACGGAGTTTCAGAGCCATGAGCCTGAGGTATTCATTTTAACCTTTCATTTTTGGTGTATGTAAGGCAGTCCCCGCTAAAGCCGCTATATATGAGGGACGTAAAGCAGCCCACTAAAACCATTAGATATGAGGGGCGAATCACTAGTGTACTCAAATGGTGAAACTGGAGAGCATCAAAGCTCAAAAGACGAATGCAACTTGACCAAAGAATCTTTATACCATCGATGCATTTTGCGGAAACCAGAAGAAAAGCGCATTAATTAGGGAGCTTGCTTTCCTTAGAAAGGCCTCATATGTTACCATTTTTTTAGCTTTTCCCTGAAGTTGTGATTGTTTTATTTCATTACATCTTTTGCATCCAGTTTGATTATCTCAAGAGCTTGGAGATTGAGGAGAAAATCAATAAGATTAGATGGTGCCAAACAGCTAATGGTGCACTCTTTCTTCTGTCCACTAACGATAAAACCATCAAGTTTTGGAAGGTGAGAGATTTATTTTTGAATAGCATATATAGGCTTTCTCTATTTAGGTTTGTTTCTATAGGGTAGTAATTGTGTGCCTTATATTCCAGCCACTTGCATATCCCTTGATTGCTCCTTTTTTTTAGTATGATTTCAGTTTCCTTGTAAGCATTCTAGTACTATTGCATGAGAGATTTTGATTGCACGCGTTAATTATTCATTGAAGGCCTGAGTAGTCATTTGAATTCCTTCTTTTCCTGCAAGATTCTTATAGGACTTTTTAGGACTTATGGGTATTTAAATAACTTAACTTTGGTGCTTTCGTTTGATGTATGTGTTCATTCAATTTATTTATGTGTTGTTGTATGGGTTCATTTAATTTGTATTAATCTTCCTGCAGCATGTTTATTTTCATGGGAGGTGTCTATTATCGAATTGCATGTATTGTGCTTACTGTGTTCAAGGCCATCGTGCTGATGTAGGCACTAACGGTTCTAATCGATTCCGGAAGGGTGCAATCTCTATGTATAATGGCACATCCTTATGCTGCAGAGTTACAGATTCTAATTGTTGGAACTTGGGAGTAGAATAGGAATCGAAGGCATATCACACATAACAATGCTAGTGAATAGTGATATTGGTGCTTATATTTTTTCTGTTCGACTAATCGTTGAGTAAATGATGTGCACTATTTGTAATCAGTCAGGACTGCCAGGACAGCAGAAGAAAAAGTTGTCCCTCCATTTGTCAGATCTATCCATTTAGTCAAAATTAAAAGATGGTGATGATTTTATTTTAGCCATTTCATCTATAAACTCACTTTGGATGATAAAAAATGTTCAACCACTTCATATGTAGTAGGGTTACTGGATACAATCCTATGTCTTGTGCTGACATGTCAGAGATGAGTGGTTCTCAAAAGCTTGGGAAACATAAGTTCAGTGGCTGAAGTTAAACACTGTTGGTTGCCAAGAGCTGTCTGTATTATTTTGAACTTGAATAGAGTTTAGTTCTTATGGAATCCAATTAATGCATGTCAACATAATGGTGCAAGATGAATGTCACCCTTCTACCAGGCAGGTAGAGGGCCAATATGAAGTACAATCACCCAATGAACATGCTCCTGAAGTTATTCGAGTTTTGATGTTGCTATTAACGATGGACTGCCCTTGCCGTGCCAACCTGAACGAGTTGGTCGTGATGCTTTGTTTGGTCAAGTTGAGTTGAGAATATATCTTACAAGATAATTGCATAATTTAAGAGTGCAAGATGAAGTAAGCCAACTTATTTGAACAGAGATGGCCAGGCGAATAGTGTGCAGGAGGTCGTCTATGAAGTTTTCAATTAGAAATTTTGGTTGTGCTTCATCTCATTCTGGCTTTTATGACATAGAAATAGAAATAGTTGTCGAGGGAATGTAACTAACCCTTGATAAATGGTTCTGATTTTTGGTTTGTTTTGTTCGCATTTAATAGTTTCTGAAGTAGATATTGAGTTTGGTGTTCTCTTTTATTCTTGTATGTAACCTTTGATGAGTTATATTGCATTTCTTTGTGTGTGTTAAACAGGTTCAAGAGAAGAAAGTCAAGAAAATCTCTGACATGAACGTGGACACTTCCAAGGCTGTTGGAAATGGCACTCTTGCCAGTTCAAGTGTTACTTCCAGTCCTAAGCATTATCTTGCAAATGGAGGATATCCAGATAAATCTTACAATGGTTTGAGCAGTGACATTTCAATCCCACCGGGTGGCCTTCGATCATTACGTTTACCTGTGGTAGTTGTACTCAAGTCACATATTTTGTTTGAGTAGCTACTATGGTGTTCTGGTAGATGACTGTTTGCACGTTTGTGTGTGAGCACTTTTGACTATGCTCTGTCTTTTTCCCTCAAATTAACCTGGCCATGTTATGAAAGGTCAAAGGTGCACACACTTTTCAAAAGACCTACAAAATAAGAAAGTAAATGAAGGTAACGGAAATAGGTCTAGAGGATGAATGAAGATACTATCTAACTATGCCCACATACATACATAGAAAGAAAAGGCAGCTATACGGTAAAGTGAGGGTCCCGTGATATCTTTTGGCGTATGAACTAGTTATTACATCATTTGTTATTTTGGGTTTAGCCATGCATCCAAGTAATGAAGTGCAAAAATGAACCTTCCAGCAAATCTGTGGGCTTTTTTCAGTTGAGTCAAAATGTGAAAATTCAATTTATCTCGAGTCCAAATGCATATGCACATGCGCTATTCATTATATGGTTTTAAGTTTTGCAATTACCTTATGGAGACATGAATTTGTATGTGTATTTGGAAAACATATTAGTGTGTACACTGATGAAGGCTTTGGATTCTAACACCTTGCACTTGGGTGATTGGAGACCTTAGCACTTGTTGTGCATCAATCTTTAGTATAGCTGATACTATCCATTGTAAATAGGTTTTAAAAAGTTAAACATCACTTTTCTTATGTCATTTGCTGAATTTGTAGCTTACATTGTTTCAGTCCCTCTACTTGATTCTACTTACCATGTAAGAGTACAATCCTTAGGTAACCAGCAATGAGACCAGTCTTGTGGCAAGATGTAGAAGAGTATACGCACATGCGCATGACTATCATATCAATTCTATTTCAAATAACAGGTGCGGATCCTTACCTTTTGTTGTTGGACGTTTGTTTGAGGATTGGGGTTTCTCATGACATTGTAGAGGTGCTATGTTATTCTTTTTGCTCGTTCTTTCCTCACTTCATATTGAGCCTTCTCTATTTAAATTTAATATCAATGATGATGCCCCCTTACTGAAGGTACCAAAAAAAGTTGCAAGATAGATGGAACTGAGGTAGTAATCTCATATTTCACTTTTGCTAAAGGTCGTTACTGATTGAAGGTTTCCTTCCGTCTGTGTGGCTGTGTTGGTTGACTGTGTTCACATGTGGCAAGACTAGATGGCAGTGACTTGGTGGACATAAGGGTGAGGGAGTGCGTCATCATAATATGATAGTGTAGGATTTGTTCTGCTGACCCCAAGTGTTTGGCTTAAATTGATAAGGCAGAGCTCTTAGGTATTGGGAAATTCGTGTGGACTCTATGTGGTGGTGCACACCCATCTCTCTTGCCATCCCTCTGTAGGATACCAAGCTATTTGGAAATAGCATAAGATTGAAAGCACCCATTTAGTTTAGAAGAACTCTTGGTACATAAATTGGATTTTGAGGTCGTTATCAATTTGGTCCCATTTACATATGTTCCTTGATTAGTTAACTACTATTTTACAAGTTATGAAGCACGGATACGGGATACGAGTACGATACGATACGATACGAATACGGCGATACGACAAAATCTAAAAAAATAGAATACGAATACGGTCAAGACACGACTATAATAAAATATTTTTATTATTTTCAATCAACTTAAAACTTATATATTTTGTTAACTCTTTAATACAATAAGGAAAATTAGTAATTTTTTTTAGTTTTAAGAAAATATATATCGTATCATTATGGTATATTCACAATGTGAAGTGATTAATTAGAGGAATAAAAACTAATATTTATTGAGTTGGTTTGTTTAGAAGTAATTTTTGCTCGGACTATAACGTTATAGATTTATTTTATGCTCTTTTGACATATAATTATAGATAATACTTAAAAAATACACATGTGCCTTTGAAGTAATATGAATTTTTGTTAATGTATTGTATGATATGTAAATTCGAAAGGAAATATTAAAAATTCAACTCAAAAATTATATATGTTGCTTGAACACAAAAGTATCCGTGAAATATCCTAATATTTAATTATTATCGGATAAGTAGAAGGTGTATCCAATGCGTATCATCGAGTATCCGACAAATATCGTATCCGATATCGGTACGCTGACCTCAACAAAGTATCCGTGTTTCATAGATTACAAGCCTACTCTTGCACATGTTAGTATATCTTGGTGATTGGATGGGCTTTGGACTACGGTAAGGTGTAGTGTTCAAGGACATCCTCCACAGTCCTCCAATTTCGATAAATTAAGACTAAGGAAGCATATTTGACCCTAACACGATCCATGTGATGAAAAGGAACCTGTGATCCCCTAGGATATCCTGGATATCTTTTTTATTTTCTGATTTCTATTTCTCATTAGGCTGAAAAGAAAATCTCTCCTGTTGCGATGTTTTGTTATATGTGAAATCTCTCCTGTAGTATATGTGAGAAAAATAAAGCTGTGCCTTATATGGGAAAATGGTTAGTTTGGCCGTAGTTCTATTTTGGCATTGGAGCCTTCTTTGTTTTTTTTTTTAATTTGATACCATTCCATCATTAACTCATGTTATGATTGTGAACATGCTGATTTGGCTTCTGTTATTATTTATTTGTGTCATAATTACCCATGGAAAGATTGACCATTATGACTACTGATTCCAGAGACATGCTTGTTTTCTCTGAAGAATGATATGGTCTGTTACGATTTTCTGGCTAAATCTTCATTTCTGTTACGAACCAGTAATCATATACCCTGTTTTAGAGTTGTTCTTTGTGGATTATTTTCTTGAACTATGTCATCTCTTGCATTTACTGCTTCATAATAAGGCATTTAGTTTAACAGCTGTCAACATCGAGGTACATAATTGAATGATTATAATTACTTGAATCTGAAAGTTATACAAAGTGATGTTGCCCTTGTTGGTGTCATGTTCTTGCAGCTATGCTGTCTAGTCTATGTCTCAATTAAAATGTGTTTCTGCTTTCACTGACTGTCTGTCTATTTTTCTCTTACTTTCTAGTGATGGTGAAACTTTTATATCGGCTGATGATCTGCGAATAAACTTGTGGAACTTGGAAATCAGCAATCAAAGCTTCAATATTGTTGATGTGAAGCCAGCGAATATGGAGGATCTAACTGGTATACGTTTTAGCAATTTAATTGGTTTTCCAAATTTATTCAGGATATGCTGAGAGTCTTTTCCTTCTTTTCCACTAAGATTTTGATAGATTCGAGAGATGTTGAGTGGACTCTAATTTTAAGAAACACCTAGCTTTTTTTCATCGGCACATATTCTTTCCATATTGTAGTTTTTGGTTCATAGAATATTCTCCTTCCTTTCTTTTTTTTTTTGGGCTATTTTATTGCTTTTCATGCTGTTGTAGGACAGTTAGGACTTGGTTTGGCATACTAATTCATGCTGCATTAGATTGACAAGAAAAGAGAGGAAAGGAAAATATTAATGTTTTCTTGATCCACTGGTGCAGTCGGTTGTCGCTAGGAAGCGTGTGGGTCTCACCATAAATCACTTTCACGTAGGAATCATTTTCCTTCCAAGATTTGTCTTGCATTTATACAACATATTGTTCCGCGAGAAGTTTAAGGCTAAGTTCGTAAACCAATTTCAAGCAGGATGATGAATATATTTAGTTTTCTAACCAAAATTTCCTGAAAACACATCTCGGGCCAGATTCCTGACAACTAGACAGAGAGTTGTGTATTGGTTTAAATATGCAGAGAAGTAAGACTGAAATATTTTTTTTGTAACCTTTTCATTCTCTGTTTTTTGTTGGTCAGATTGAACAATTTCATGGGATTCCCCAATAATCTGTTGCTTGTAACCTTTGTTTTTCTTGTTGCAGAGGTGATAACATCAGCTGAGTTTCATCCTACCCACTGTAATATGTTAGCATATAGTAGTTCGAAAGGATCAATTCGTCTTATTGATTTGCGGCAATCAGCTTTGTGTGATAGTCATTGTAAATTGTAAGTGTTTGTGTGGCCAGCCTTATTACTTTTCCTACCATTTCAGTCCTTCCTGTGTTGCATCCTTACAAGAAATAAACCAGAAAGAGAATGATTGGCTGGGTTGGGACCGTTAAAGCAGTTTTATTAAGGATAGAACACTGTTTTTTAAGTTCCCAATTGAACTTAAATTGAGCTCAATTGTTTCATTGTATGCATGTAACAATAATGTTTCTTTTGCGCACAGGTTTGAGGAGCAGGAAGCACCTGGTTCAAGATCATTTTTCACTGAGATAATTGCCTCAATTTCAGATATTAAATTTGGAAGGGATGGAAGATATATACTTAGTCGTGACTACATGACCCTTAAGGTTCGATTTAATTATACTATTTGAGGCTATATTTGGTATGAACTTTTGCAATTGTGTTGCTGCACCATTTTGGATTGGAGATGTTGGTCTCATAAGAGTTTGGCTGTGTGACCATGGGACGGTCATATGCTTCGGATCATTTTTTGTATTTTTGTATTCCACCCACAAAAGGAAAAAAAAAAAAGAAACACACACACACACACAAAAACCAACCCAGCCAACAGCCCCAGTGTGTCCCAACCCCACACCAAGGGCCCTTAACAAGGGTTGAACCCTGCACATCCCCATGGGAATGACAGAAGTATCACTAGGCCTCAAGGATTGTATATACTAGTGTCTAAGTCAATCTTTACTAACTCAAATTGTTGGATTGTTCAACTTTTACAAAGTTGCAAGATGCTATGATTTTCAATGTTTACCCAAAGGAAGTTGCTGTCATTAATTAGCATAGTATGGGAAATTTCTTTACCTACTGCTGATGGTAGTCCCGTGCAAACATTCAGTGCTACTTACCAAACAAAAAATCTGTTCAATTTCTCAGGTCATGGATTCATTTTGTGGGTTTGCAGCGTTATGGTTGCATGTTGAAAGATAAACAGGGAAATGTGTGATGTCTTGGATGGCTGAAACCTGTTAATGCACAATTTTGCAAAGTATTTCAAATTACCCTTTTTCATCTGTCCAAAATGTTGGTTGATGAACGTTTCATTATATTTGTAAATGCTAGTTTCCTCAATTAGGCTGAATACCACTTGTTGTAGTTAGGGTAAAACCAGCATACAGTTACTTTATTAGATGTTGGGAAATTAATGAACATCATAACCCTCAACATTTATGTGTACCAGTATTTTCTTTTATTTTTTTTTGTTTTTTATATTTGGATTGGCTACTGTACATTGATTTTAAGGTAATAAAGTGTGCGGATGATTTGAGATTGAAGATGGTGGATGATGTTTTCTTTTGAGTTGGAGTGTGGGCCATGGGGTGAACTTGTGCAGGTGCTTTGAAGTGGAAGGAGGACCCTTTGAGGCAGTGTTAACTGTCTTTTTCTTTTCTTCTCTGTTCTTCTATTCTCTTCTCTTCTCTTTTGTTTTTTTTTTTCTAATCATTGGGTTAATTCGAGTCAAATATACTGGTAGTATAGGATAGAATCATGTCATACAATAGGATGGTTTTGATGAGTTCTTGGTGTGTTTACTGAAATGTCTCTGTTCTTATTCTACGAACTTGTCTGACGTGTCTTCCAATTGACGGGTAAGGTTATTCACAGAAGTCCTTTCTTTTCGGTTTTTTTTTTGGCCATTTCAGGAGAATATAGAGTTTTTATCTTGCCTTTTTTATTCAGTTTATGTTATTGTTGAGTTTGTAGGAGCTTTCTTTATACAAGAAATTTGGTTGTATTACTCTTGAAAAGAGTTTCGATATGATTTTAGTCAAGCAGAAATTCATATCTTTTTGTATGTTACAAATGTTTGGCTTCGATGTGATTTTGACAATATTTGTATGTTCCCGTGGTAGTTATCTTATTTGCTTCTAAAGTTTTCAAGTGTCGAGCAAACCTCAGTTTGAATTTTAAACTTTCACACTGCTACTTACCTGTTGATTTCTCATCAAATTCTCTCTAATTTTGTTTCAGTTATGGGACATAAATATGGATTCTGGTCCTGTTTCAACTTTCCAGGTTCATGAGTATTTAAGACCAAAGGTGAATTTCCTATTTTCTATCCAAGTTTTCACCTGAAACTGTGTTGATATTCTTTTGTATTTGAGCTGATGGGATTCTACGGGGAATAATGTGCAGTTATGTGATTTATATGAAAACGATTCTATCTTCGATAAATTTGAGTGTTGCCTGAGTGGTGAGGGTCTGCGAGTAGCAACTGGTTCTTACAGGTCTGTGTTCAAGTTTCATTTTTCTTTAATTGTTCGTTTACAATTTTTTTTTGGCAATTCATCCTTATTGCTGTTTGCCTCTTTTTTGTTCTCGTAATAATCTTTTCAACATGTGTTTCAGCAATCTATTCCGTGTGTTTGGCTGTACTTCGGGTAGCACTGAAGCAACTACTCTGGAAGCAAGCAAAAATCCCATGAGGTATCTGTATAAAGATGAATTTAACTTGTATGAGACTAATGTTTGTTCATGCCACATCATTGATAATCACAAAATTTGGGATTTGCCTTTTTAGGAGGCAAGTCCAGAACCCTTCAAGGCCTTCCAGATCCCTAAGCAGTAGTATAACACGCGTTGTCAGAAGAGGTCAGTGCTGTCTTTATCTCTTTTTACTTTTTGTTAAACAATTGTAATTTGCATACTTTCAGTTAGATAATAATTTTTTAATGAATGTAATGATATCCATAACAGGATCCGAAAGCTCAGGGTTTGATGCAAATGGAAATTCATTTGATTTCACAACAAAGTTGCTCCACCTAGCATGGCATCCAACTGAAAACTCAATTGCTTGTGCTGCTGCAAATAGCTTGTACATGTATTATGCATAAGATGTCGGTCCAGGAATTAGTATATGGTCACTTGGTTGACATTTTTGGATTTCCAAAGGAGAAAGCTTCTTTCCCGGGCAACTTGAAGCTTCGACATTTCTTGCATTCAAGCACCTTTGAAGTTGGTAGCACGTGCTTCTAATGTCAAGGTCCAAACGGTGGCTGTCCTGGAATCCGCGGCAATGCAATTTGCCTTTGTTTAGGGACAGGCAGCTTGCTTTGTTCCACCCTTTCTACTTCTTAATTACTGCTTCACCCTCTAATTTCTTTCAGGTTTTTTTAACCTTTTGCAAAGGAAAGATGCAGTTCTGTTCTTATTTTGTCGGGGAGGTAAAAAAAAAAAATTGATTGTAGCTCTCCAACAACCAAGACCAAAGGATGTCCAATATTGCCACTAGGTCCAAGTTAAATGTAGTTTTACTCTGCCCGGAAAGATCTGCTGCTAACTTGCAAGACATCAAAGCTTATTTATTTTTTCTTGTAAACGACCAAATTGTCTTTAGGGTGATTTTAGTCTGGTGTTGTCTTAGATTATTAGTGAATATTTTTTTTTTTTGTAAAAGAAAATCAAGGGCTATGGTTTATTATATTGTGCTGTACTTTTGCATGCACATTTATGAAATGAAGCTTTCGTTGAAGTTACACTATTGAGTTAATTACTATTTGAAGTGAGTATGTTCTGAATGGTTTGTGAATCTCTCTTATGGTTTGTCCAGATGTTCATGTGTGCCTTGTTATAATGCAGACGCTACAAGTTGCACTGCCTAGTTTTAACGATCATATTTAGTCACTGGTGAACACATCTCATCCAAAAGGCATTAGAAATAACTTTTTAATTGCCCCAGCAAGTGCCCACGTTGTTTGCCTTCCTGGGACATTGGTTGAAAAAAAGTGGTCTCTCAGGTGTCGACCCAAAAGAATTCTCTGAAAAAAGAGAGAACAAAAGCGTCAGCGGGCTATACTTTACACATTTAAGAGAAGACCAACCACTAGGCCGCACCTAAAATAGCCATTCGCTGTTAACACTGTCAACTTGGAACACCAATGCTGCTTGATAAAAACAAATGAATCACAAACGAAAACCAAACCAACTACAGAGGGAGAGATGAATCACGAACAAAAACCACCAAAACCAACTACAGAGTGACACAGTAATAAAAACAAAACCAACTACGAGAGAGTGATAAAAACAAATGAATCACAAACTAAATAAAAACAAAACTAACTATAGAGTGAGAGAGTGATAAAAACAAATGAATCACAAACTAGAGAGAGATAAAAACAAATAAATCACAAACCAGAGAGATAAAAACAAATGAATCATAAGCTAGAGAGAGTGATAAAAACAAATGAATCACAAACTAAAACCAACTAGAGAGAGTGTGATAAAAACAAATGTATCACAAACTAGTTCTGCATATTGAAAGAGTTAGAATACTGAAAGAGTTCAATTACAAGCTTGGAATGGATTTGGCTCGGATGAATTGTTTGAGAATGGCTTTATCTTCATCAATGCGCTTCTTCTCTTCTGCTTCTTTTGGTTTGATCTTCCCTTTCTCCTCTGATAATCACCAACTGCTGATCTTCGAGTATTGGCGGCATCAGGACCGGCAAAAGTGAGGTTATCCTCTACCTCTGCTATAAAATTATAGACACCACAGTCAAATTTGAAGCACAATCATCAAGAAACGAAACCAATGCTATAATTCCCTGCTATATCTCTATCTACCTGATAGCCAAAAAGAAGGGTTCTTATATAGTTTGTTCTTTTTTCCCCTTCCGCCTTCCTTCATCTCTGGTGGCTCAACAACAGGGAGATTCGTCGCTAGCTCCGGGACAGTCTCTGGGACAAGGAGGTCCGTCGTTGGTGCCGGGACAGGGAGGTCCAAATGGCTCCGTCATTAGCTCAGGGACAATAACCTCAGTCGGTGGCTGCTCGGAGGCTCAGGGACCTCTGACGCTACCCCATGAACCTTGGATCATAACACAATTAGGACAAGTACATTAGAGGTATTAAATGATTGGATTGATAGTTCAAGTTTAGATCAAGGTCCCGTACTACAAATACCGACTCATATTATCTAACATCAAATTTTTGGGTTAATTGTTCAATCTCATACCATAATATACCCTAACTGAACATGTATATTTACAAACCACTCTTTTTTTAATTGAGCATTAAGTTTGATGACAAATTAGAAATTATTTCAGATTGACTTTGTGAGACATTCACTTTCCATATTTTAGAAGGTACCCATAATACCATGTGATATGGGATCAAAGTGAAAATAGAGACAAATTATAAAGAGCAGAAAATGTTAATATATAGCTTAACATTTCATTTATATGATAAAAAATTAACGAGAGAATAAAATAAACGTGTATACGTGGATATGATATTTAAACTTTTAAATATATATACATGGATACCTAGATATATTAAGATCAAGACCATTTATTTCATATAATAACAAATAAACAAGAATAAAGTAAACATGTATCCGTGGATATAATATTTAATCTTTTGAACATGTATATAGTTAGGGCTGTCAAAATTCGATACAACACAATTAACCAACACTTATCGACACAAATTAAATGGGTTTGAGTGAGATTTTAACGGGTTTGAGTGATAAATGTGTTGACACGCCAAATATGTTTAATCAACGAGTTGTGTTCGGGTGAGACCTGTCAAATTGTTTATCACACGTTTACCTGTTTAAATAAAATTAATATAATAAAAAATAAAAAATTATTTTAAAAAATTAGCAAGAAAAAAAGAACTAAAGAAATCAATAAAATAATAATAATAATAAAATAGTAGTTTAAAGACAAGAGAGGAGATGAGGAGCACTTCAAAGACAAATGCAAACTAATGTCTTTTTGTTTTTGTTCCACATTTGTTTCTTTTTTTTTAAGTCTTCAAGTCTTATTTTTATGAGATTTGGCTAAAAATTCCTCTTTTTTAGGTAAGTGCAATTAACAATAAAAAAAAATAGAGTATTAAAATTTGTTAATATAATTTTTTTTAAATTAAACAGGTTAAAAGAGTTGTATCATGTTATCCGTTTATTAAACGGGTCGTATTTGTGTTGAGATTTTTTATCTATTTATTAAACATGTCGTGTACAAATTTATATATTTTTTACTCATCACCCGTTTAACCCGACATATAACCATTTAATCCGACATATTTGACACCCTATATTACGGCATGTGTATGGACGGCGTGTGTTCTATACACACGAGACTCAGCCTCCTATTTACTGGTAAACAAATGAGACTCAACCTCCTATTTATAGGCTCTTGGATTTATAATGAATGACTAATATCTTATCAAGTGTCAATCATCTAGCCTACCTCTAAAAGTTCTATACAAATATATAGATATTTACAGGTATTCAAAGATTTCTCTAAATATTCTCGATTTTTTTTAGATTTATTTAGTATTTACAAAAAAGAAAAATAAAGATGATAAATTTCATAAATACACTCTTTAATACAAAGAGAGAACTCCTAAAAGATAGCCTCGGCCCTATTACCTAGATAACTAACTAAGAGAATCTCGAAGGCACTAGCTATTTTACATTTATTAGCTAAAATAAATAGTCAAAGTATAAAATTTTACTCTAAGGGGTTAGTTGTTTTATATTTGGGCTAAATGACTCTCTAAATGTAGAGAGTCTAGTTAGTTATTTTATATTTGGAGAGCCAAATCACTCTTTTTGTACTCAATGGGCTAGTTATTTTACATTTTAATGACATATCAAACTATGTAATATTTTTGACTTAAAATATTTATAATAGTTAATTAAAATAGAGAGTATAGTTAGAGTAATTTTGTAAAAATGACTCTTTAAAATAAAGAATGTAATATTTTAATATATTTTGACTAATTATTTTAAAGAGCACCATTGAAGATACTCTAAAAACCCTACTAAAACTACACCACTAACACCTTGCCTATCTAAACTTCTAGAAATTAGTTAAAAAAATATAAAAATAAATACTAAAAATTAAAAATACATTACATACTGACTTTTATTGTAAATAAGTTTCCTAAAAAAAATTGAAAAAAAAACTCTACATATAAATATAGAAGTTGTAATAAAACAAAAACATAAAATTTAGGAAAATCAAAACCCATAATAAATCCTCTACATTTTTTTAAGGATATGTTTCAAAATTTTTTGAAACTTTGAAAATTTTACAACTAAAATTAAGAAATTTTAATTATCTTATCTAATAAAGTACTAAAATTAAAGAATTTTGATATATATATATATATATTAACACATATATACGTCACCAAATTAAATCTAATGTAAAATTAAAAATTCTTTAATTTTAGTATTTTCTACAATAAGATAATTAAAATTCCTTAATTTTAGTTTTTAAATTTTAAAAACTTTCAAAAACTTTGAAACATATCCCTAAAAAAATAGATAAAATTTATTATAAGTTTTAATTTTTATAAATATATATGAGGGAAAATATGTCAAAAGAAAATCACAAAAAATCAAATTGTATATTTGAACACAATTAAATTCTAAAACAATTACTTAATTACTTAACATTAAAAGTTATGTACTTTTTAATAATTAACTCTAATTTTGTGTACCCCTTTATAATTTTCCAAATAATAAAGTAAAAATTGGGGTTAAATCCTCCTATATGGACTTATAATGACTTAAGTCCGTCAAAAAAACTTATTTGGTGTTAAGTTTATTTTTTATCTTATAAATAAGTATTTAAGTCCATTATTTTTTTAAATCCTAAAAATACCCTTAATATTGTTAGTCTGTTCAATTATAGAAACCTTAAAGACCTTAAAAGTAGCTTTGAATTAATTTCTTAAATTAGAAATTATTATCTCTTAATTCTTTCCTAAATTGAAATTCAAATTCAAATTCAAATTTTAAACTGATTACATTCAGTATTGACAAAGTGGCATTCAATTCTTGGCATTCAAAATATCTTCACACCTTTGGGACTCAAAAATATAGTTAAGGTATATGATTTTATGGAAAAGTTGATGTTTATTGTAGGGTTTTAAAAAATCTTCCACATATTCTATATTTCAAACTTTTCATTTTTTTGTATTCTTAATTTTAAAATTGCGATTCATTATTATTAAATTAAAGTAATATTGGTTTCGATTTTGTGGATCTTTTGTTGGACAAATCAATCAAAAAATTCTTTGTTGTGTTATTGTGGGAAAAAATTTGATGTTACTGTGGGTGAACAGGAAAATGAAGTTTAAATATTCGATGTCTTGATGTTCTGGTCATCATGAATTTCTATGTCATTGATTTTTGGGAAAAAAAAGTTGAAAAACTTGCTCACTATGTTATTAGTTTGATTCGACGGTCTGAATACGAAATTTTCACTCCCCCCAATTTTTTGAGCAAGACTTTTATTCCTTCTATAATTTTAATACTTCTATCTCTCTTATAACTTTCTATCTCATACTACACATTAATTAAATCATTAATTATGATTCTAATTAGAGATTATTTTTAAAAATTTTAAATAAATAAATGGACCTTAAATACAGATTCTTTGCATCAAAACGAGTCGAATGACTATTTTTTTGTCTTTAACTTTTCACAACTCAGATCTGTGACACCCCAAAATCCGGGGGTCCGTTGATAACTCATCAACCCGCGGAATGCCCGTGGATACTGAGTAACTCGATATCTCAACGTTATGCCCCATTTACCGGGGTCCATTCTTTATTAAAAATTTGGGCAGAGTCTCCTTTGCAAGGAGAACTCTACTCAAAACACAACATGTGCATTATATAATAACAAGACTCATCCGAGGTCCTATATTCAACAATGACCACACCGGGTCCATTTATAAATAAACATTGACCACACCGGGTCCAATTATCCATATTCATACAAACATGCAAGATTATATTGAAACAGTCGATATAGATTCTAACACAATTCATTTACACATTACATGCCAAAATTTAATTATAAGTCTAATTTTACAAAAAAAATGGATTGAAAATCACAAGTCGGCTTTTCTTCCTCCTTAAGTGCCCGAGTAAGTGTCGTCCCTCTGTGTATGACCCGTACCTGAAATGTTTCCCGTATAGGGTGAGCCAACGTCCAGTAGAGAAAAACTCCTACTAGGGTTACTCCCTACCTTAAATGCATATGCAATGTGTATAAACAACATTTAACATTTAACAACCATTCATACAAGAATATGTATTTAATGTTGAAATGCAACCATGTCATGCCATGAAATAAGATGATACTCACTCATGCACAAAAACTCAAGTCTTCACTGATTTCCACAACACAATGCAATGCCAATGTGTAATGGCCCGTCTTCGACGGAAATACATCCAATGATCGCTTTGAATAAAAAATCATGCGTTTTATAAATCAGATCATTATTGGATGGTACTCATTAAATGAGTATTTTCTTATAAATCAAAATCTTGTGTCTTGTTGGGCAACGAATTTTGGATTTTATACCGCTGGTTCTGTATACCATACTACACTTTTTCGAAATTTTACCACAGGGGAGTGTATAACCAAGTCGCCGGGTTTTGCACCAGAGGGAGAGTTTAGCCTTACTTGTTATACTCGACACAAGTTTTCTTCTATGCAACCATGCGACTCAAAGAGGATCTTCGATCCACTTTTTCCCGAACCCACATACCAACCACCAAACAAGGTGTTTGATCAACCATGCATCTCACACACCCACACTCATGACTTATGCCCATGAATGTGATGCCTCTATGCACAATGATACAATGTTCAATATG